GTGCATGTTCTTCGGTCGAGCCCCCGTGGAAAACGATCGGAGGCCCACGCAGCTCGCTCGCTCGCTCGCTCCCGAACTGCACGCCTGTGTGCTGGGAGCTGCGGCAGCATATGACACAGTGACCGACCGACCGTGTCTAGCTAGCAATGTACTACTGCTGCTGGTCTACTAGTACTCTACCACTCCACTACCCCACTACTCCCTTGTTGTTTTTTGTCCCACGGGCTGGGAAGGCACATGCAAAGCTACCTGCCGCTCCCAGGCCCGGCCTGCCGGCCTTGACGAGAAAGAAGGTTCTTCGTTAGTACGTATTATTCACCCATGTAACTAGCTAGGATCCATCATCCACCTCGCCCTCTGTCCAGTGTTCAATTGTCTCTGTAAAATGCAGTAATGGAATCAGTTAACAGTGATTATTTCGTACTACATCATGCATGCATGGGTGTCAGCTTGTCTAATCTGTCGCTTTTTGAATATGATCTCGTTCGTTCGTTGCGGTAAAGATATATAAACTACACACATACGTACACACACTGCTTGCATGAGTACACTGATGGATGTGACCATGAAAGAACGGTAAGAAAAAGAAATGCCGCACCGGTACGACGTACAACGCCCTCTCCAGGAGGCATGTGAAGGGCGTGTTGCGCGATCTCCCTGCAGGATCACCTGCCGCTTCTTACCGCGACAGGCGGCTGCGGTTAATCTCGTAGAATACTTTTCCAATCTGGCTCCTGATTCGTGTCAAGCCGCGAGCCGTGCTTAGTGGCCCCGTTGCCTCTGCGAGCTCGTGATGCCACTGCACACCTAGCTTGTGCTTATTTTTTCAGCCTGTATTGTACTGTACTACGGGAACAGCGAATAAAGACGGTCATTTGTACTATAAATACTATACAAGTACTGTGTATCAGACGATGAGATCTACACGCAGCCACATATACAAGCTCATGCCGCGGATTCGTGATCCGGACAAACCATAGGCGGCCGGCCGGCCGGCCGGCTCGTCCAGCCATGCACGCCGATGCATGCTGTGGTCCTGGCTAGCTAGCAGCTTAGCTTTGCTTTCCTGCTCAGTGTGCACGCAGCTATATTGTATACGCCGGTGAATGCATCTTTGAATATTCAGGGCGAGTTCTAGAGACGATCAGATTGGCCGGTAACCTGGCACGCTACTAAGCGCATCCCTAATTAACAATCCCTGTAGCTTGTGGACCTGATTAGGCCGCAACTCGCCTTGGGCGATCACTCATTAGTGTAGCTCAATCATGATTAATCAATCACATTGAGTCAGTGATGAAGAAGCCTTCCTCTAGCTAGCTGCTCCCGGTGCAGATGATTCCTCATGCACAATGATTCGGTGCATATTCTCATGTGGCCGCACGGACGTGTGGTACATTTCCAGAGCACTATAGCTCACGCTCTGGCGCTGAAAAGGGCCCGTAGCTAGGAGCACTGCTGCTGCTCGAAATGTTTGCCTTTTTATTAGTATCGGAAATCGTATGGATGCAAGCCAAGAGAGTTGACTGTTGGGGACCGCCGGCATATCATTGGTGCGGTGTTACTGACAGGCATCCATCAACTTTTTTTCCCTGCCCCAAAAGAAGGTTTCCTATGACACCGAAGGAGCAAATGCATGCAGCTGCAAATGGAAGCGCTGCCAATCAGACAGACGCGCACAATAATGCGTGTCCTTCTCTGGGTCTGGGTCTCGGCTGATATTTTTTGTAGGGTTCCTCGCCTGTTTGTCCTGCATGAGTAGCACATACATACATGCATATATCAGTGACTCTGCACACAATGGAGTGTACAGTAGTGCTACTGGAGCCAGCAAGGCCATCGTCAGTGGTTGTTACTGCTCTACATATACATTCTGATGGACGCAGTTTATGGTTGGCCGCCACTGTGCTACTACTACATATGATTCTCTGCATCTTTTTGCGTTTTAAAATGGAATTCAGTTGGCAGTTCAGCGCATCTGATACTACTGTAGCTAGAAACATCCACCAACAACCGATCGGAACACTTGGGATTGAATACTGCATCGCTATCAAGCCCGCGTTCACCGCGGCCAGCCAGAAAAGCAGCTACGCATCCCCTCTCTCCCTCCCGTCGAACGAACGAGCCGCAGAAACCCATCGTCCTCGATCTGCAGTCACTGATGGTCACAGCAGCTAGCTCAAGGGCATAGTGGTAGTAGGGTTTGGAATGGACCCCCGGCTTTGATCCTAAGAAAAGTGGTTCGGAGTGGCCTAGTCAGTCGTACTTTACTATGCCTTATTTTTTTGTTGCCTTTATAATTGGGAGGATGCACCCCATTGGCTCGGCTCAGCGGCACAAGTGTATTTCCTAGCTAAAACCAGCAGATGATAAATATGCTACTGCTGCTGGTATCCTGCACCGATCGACAGCGAGGTTGACGCGTATGCATATGGCGTTTTCGGTGTCGTCGTGTTCATCATACATATGTGATATGACTGAGCCATTGTTACTGCGGTGTCACCATCTTATCTCTCCCTGCAGCTAGCTACCTATATATATAGCATGATGTCAACAAAAAAAGAGCTACCTATATAGCAAAAAAGAAGAGGAAAATGCAATCGGTGGGAGTGACAGAAAAGGTCCAAAGAAATGACTAATCTCAGGTCCCCGCGCGCATGATGATCGATCGACGAGTCCACGACTTATCACGAGGTATACAGCTAACTGCCCACGCTGTTTCCTATGTTCCTACACTGCAACCCAGGCCAACATGCCACTACTAAACCCTCATAAACACAGTGAGTAACCATATACTATTGCCTCCCTAATCTGGCATTGAGATCCCCCATTCAACCCAAAACCCCACGGCTAAGCTAACAAGAGGGAGGATCGGCGCCAATAGAATACGGGATGCAACCATTATAGGGTGCAGGGAAACAATGCTAGTTTATACGGATCCAAGCTGCTTTGCGTGGATGTAGGAGTATATTTTACGCGCGCCAAAGGCCTCGGAGGAGAGAGCTGGCTGCTGCCCTTGAACGGAGGGACATTGGCGGGCCGGACCCCCGCAAGCCCCACATGGCTCCCAGGTGGAGAGGAGAGATCTCTACCCGGTAGTACCTGCCTGCCTGCCTGCTGCTATTCGCCTAATTAAACAAACTTGTAGGAGTACTTCATATCATGGGCACTGCATAGTTTTACAAGCTTCGATATATATTGTTGCACTACGCCTACGCCAGCTGGTTAACTACATGGACTGCTTTGGTAGTTTAGTGAGCTAGCTTGTCAAATGTGGTGGAGTTGAGTACTAGTAATTACTCCCTCCGTTCGGAATTACTTGTCTTGGAAATGGATGTATCTAGAACTAAAATACATCTAGATACATCCATTTCTGCGACAAGTAATTCCGAACGGAGGGAGTACTTATTAATTTCCACACTCCGGAAGTTAAGTTATATGTGTTGTTTTGTATTGCTAGTTACCTTTTTGCAATGTGGTGGAGTTGAGTACTAATGATTCGATGCATATTCTCATATGTCCACATGTTGTAGTGATGACCACATACGGATCAAAGTCGTAGCCCTGTAGATAACCTGCAAGAAAAAATAGGAATAGACGATATGTTAAAAACACATTCATTCCGGCAATTCCATGTTGCCTAGAGAGCGGCACAAACTCCCACACGAATTTGACCCTTCGGCTTATGATGAATACCGCCCAATCAGTTTCCAAACAAATTTGAAATACTCGTTGGCTGTGTTAATTGTATGTAACATGAATGGTACGCAAGATCAAGGCAGTAAATGGACATGACATAAATAAATGATTGTGTTAATTTATATGTGCTATTTTGTGTTGCTACTAGTGTCTTTTTGCAACGTTTCGTTTCCACAGTGGAGTGTAGAAGTAAGATCTTGCTGGCAAGAAAAGGGTTGAAAGCTAGATCACAGACAAGAAGAAAGGGAGTCAAGAAAAAGGAGCAATTTATGTT